GAAGCAAGTCCTCCTAAGAACTCCTTGGACACAAGAGCATGGAGGCAGGCAGCTGGAATGGCCACGCCATCTCGCATAGGCCGTGGCAATGTCTTTGTCATGGGCAAACTCCTTCGCAGCGTTACTTCGCGCTGCGGGTGCTTAGGCTCCTAGGGCTTTGGCTTCGTTTGCCCCGTGGCCTGTGAAGTGCCAAATTCAGCAAAGCAGGAATGCCCGTACCTGGGACACTGAGGGCCAGGGCTTGGGGGGAAAGGGGCTTACTCCAAGCACCCGTCTGCACACCCTCTGTATTGAAGCGAAAGCAAGGATGCAGCAGCACAGCAACGACAGCAAAGCAAAGTGGCATGGGCGAACCAGCTTCACCAAGCTAGCTATTGTGGGTAAACAGGAAAACAAAGAATCATCACAGGGCACGCGCTCTCAAAGCCCAGAAGTTCCATGACCTCGTCATGCACTTCGTTCGCCACCTCGAACAGAAACAAGAACCCGAAAGCCGTTGTGAAAAAACTGCCCTCGCGACCAACACGAATCCATGGTCCTTGCAATGTGCCGGGCTACGGTCTCTGGCAGGGCCCCCGTTTCCTGGATCTTGCGCCGAAGCTTGTCCTGCACCTCGCACCAGGACCCTTCAGTCCGCTTGCAAACATCAATTAGAAAGTTCTTCGTGATGAAGACATGAGCCGATGAGCCTCGGCTGTGTCCATCTTCACGTTGCAGGCATCCAAGAACTCCAGAACAACACTCCTCGGTAATGGGCACGGCAGATAACAGCAACTTGGAGCAGGTCGAGGGACAAGAGTGCGGGATTCTTGTGAACACCTGCTTGGATGCTAGTTCCGAGAATCCGGGACATCCTGCCCTCCTTCTGAAGAACTTCCGGCCGCCTGTCTTCCAGGCACTGCAGATACACGGCATCCGTGGCGGCCACAAACGCCTCGGCTGGTCAGGGTAAGGTTCCATTTGGTCTGTCGTCCTGGAGCATTCCCGAACTGGAACTACCTCAACACAAGACCCCGAAAAACGACCACCCGATGACCCGAGCAGCAAACACAATGGGCTCGGCACACAAACTCTCAAAAGCAACTGCAGCGTTGCCCGAAAGGAGGGAAACGAGTGCAACCAGTACTAACCGAGCCCAAATCCCAAAATTTCCTTTTGAAACCCTTTCACGTTGAAGCTAACACGCGCCTTATGTAATCACCACGGGCTTTTGGCAGGTTTGTGGGGTGGAGTGGGGTGGGGTGGGGTGGGGTGGGGTGGGGTGGGGTGGGGTGGTGGGGGGGGTGGGTGTGGGGGAGTAATGGCGTCATCGATATGCCGGCCATCATCATCATCGTGCTTCGACAGTCAAAGCCTGGTAAGAACAGTGCTTTCACGTCATCAACATCATCATCATCATCACCATCCTAGTTCTCGCTTTTCCTGTATGTTCCGTTTCAATACTCCACAGCAGCTGTCGCAGACCTTAGGCGGTTGGCAGACGCCAAGAACAAGAAGAAATAAATTTTGAAAAAAGGGGCCAGCTGCACAATTCGCATTCGGAAGTCAGAGTGTTTTTCGTGCTGCGATACACAAAACGCTGGTAAAGACAGTACGTCGAAAGCATCCAAAACAAACCTTTTCATCAAAAAAAGTGTACACAACCCCACGTTTACTGCGTTTTGGCGAATCTTACGTACACATGGACCGTGCCAAAACCCCATGGTCATTAAGACGCGCGTTACCATGTTGAAGGGCCTGGGCTGAAATCTCTATCTCAGGGCTAGGCACTGCGGGTTGCGATTTTGATAGGTTATGATTCATAAGTTATGATGCTTTGCTGGGTTGGTGGCTTGGGGCTGTAAACTGACGTGGCTGTGAAGGTGAACTCGGCGGCGCGATGCCTTCAAAATGGAAACGGAAAATGGCTGACTCAACATCCCTCCGGGTTCGGAACCTGCTTCAGTGCGGGCAAGGACGACTTGGCCACAGCGCTGGTAGCCTGGTTTCGGTTTGCTTGAAATCGGAATTCTGGGTTTGGGATATAGCACTGCAGAGATACAAGTTCCTGTCGCAGAAACCCTCATACTAAGGTTGGCTGTGAGTTCGCGGGCATCCTGGACTGATTTAGTTCTGTTCTGTCTTCATTGCTTGTCACACGCAAACCTCTTACATCACGTCTGCCTGGCCAGATGCAGGGACGCGCGCCACCGCAGCACGGCCATCGACCACCGAGATCCCGAGCTCTTCCCAAATCTTGGCCTGAAAAGAGTGCACAGGGTGTGTTTGACAAGAGCCCCTCTACAGTACTAAACTGATCCGTTTAGAAACAGCCTGCACTTCGACTTCCGGCGGTTCAATGCTTCAGGGCTCTGGATAGGCAGTCTGTGTCGGCATTGTAGGGGCTTCCTTTACTGCCAGGCCAAAGGTTGCTCAAGACCCAAAATCCCTCAAAGGCAGCCCATGCCTTTGCAAGAGTCACCTACCTGTCAAAAAGCAAAAGCATGTCGGCCCGGAAGGCCTGCCTCGGACACCCCACACAAACCGAAAAAGGCTCCTTCTTGCACTGCTTTCCAGATCCCACATCCCGAGCCTGGAGCTCTGTCAGGCGCTTCCCCGGCCTGGACAAGGCTTTGGGGTTTTGTTTTCCCTCTCGCATGGCTAAGGATCCAGGGTTAGGGTCTAAGGTTACGCAGTTACGTCGTCTGACGCAGCACAGCCCCATCAAAGGAATGTGTTATGGCCATACCTGGCTAGGATCCACAGCCTTCGAAACCTCGCAAAGCTTGTTCAGACCATCCCTGTACTGAGGTGTCCCGAGTTCGGAAGCTCTTCTGCGACTGCAAAGCTCCTTCCGGAGTCGGAATTCGCAAGCTCCTTCCGAGTCGACTCGGAGGACATTTGTTCGATGCATCGCTGAAAGAACCTCAGATCAACTTTCCCAACTCCGTCCGCTCATCAGAGTGAATAGAGTGCTTCCGAATGCTTGGAAAGACAAAAGGCACTTCAAGCTGACCATCGTCCACACCATGCGACATTGCAAGAGGAGGCTAGCTGCTTCCAGGGCTAATTCTGCCTAGCTCTGTCGTCACCACTGTTTCGGGGCTGTTGTCTGTGTCAGGGTCGAAGCATTTTGAATCTGCCCTCGGCATTCTGGAGCCAGAGTGGAAGTGGCGCAGGTTCTAAGCGTCGGAAGATAGCCGGAAACTGATGCTAATCAGCTCGGCAGCATGCACACAACGACAAGTTTGCAAACACACCATCAGTGTCAGCACATTTTGCACGGCTATCGCTCATTTACTATACTGTTTTCCAAACTTGGGAAACTCTTAGCATGCGGGAACATCTTGCAGGATTGGGTAGCAAGGACGCAAGCCCGTAGAAGTCAGCAACTTTGCCGGGGCATACTGCCGCATGTCAAACACCTGTGGTCAGCCCTGGAAGCAACTGCCAGAACAGAGCAAGCAAGATAGATAGCAGTCGACTGCATGCACAGGAGATACAGTTCCAGGAAGCATGAGCGAGGCGCATGGCTGGGAACAGAAGATAAGCATTAGCAAGTAGTAGTCGTCGTCGTTGCCGCTGCAGAAGCAGGACTAGTTGCTGTGGTCAGAAGAGTTGAGAAATAACGGTAGTTAGCCTGCAGAATCTGTTTCCCCCAGAACCAAGATATACCAACGCAAAGATATGATCGCTCCGGGTGGGCGGGTTGGTTGACATGTCGATTTCGGAGCCGCTGAAGAAGACCGAAGGTTCAAGTGCCCCAACTAACTTATGCCAAAGTCCTCTAGCAATGCAGTAATAGCAGCAATGTATGCAATACTGGCGGCGAAAGCCCACTCTCATGGTTCCTAATCGTGCCGATTCAAGCTCCTAATAGTTCTAATCAGGCAACCACTAGTGACGAAAGAAAGGTCGTGATTGTGACGAAAGATGACAATCAAAACCGTCGACAAGGTCGTGATCGCAATGATTCATGCTTCTAATCATGTCAGTGCCTTGGGTATCTGCGGATGACTGGGTCCCAGCCCTGCAGGTTTTGCTCTCACGCAGTGCTTTCCTATTGTCTGAAGTGGAAGATTGGCAACACGGTATTTGCAAAATCTTTCTGCAGCACTTGCTTTTTGCAAGGCCCAAAGACAGCCCAGCGGCGCAGAAGCAGATCGTGCCGACGATTTGGGAAGCAGAAAACACAGCAGGAAACGTCGCCCTGCAGAGAGCAGAAGCACCCCTGCCAAGCAAAATTCCCGTTTTGGTTCACGCTGTCTGCTCGTCAGCCTCGTCAGACATGTCATCGGATACATATTCGACACTCTTCGTCCCATGGTTTGTGATCGGACCGCTGCGCGACGCAAAGCCGAGAGGGCGGTGCAGATGCTCTTCACCACCTGTCTCGGCTTTGCGTCGCGATCTAGCTCGTGAGCCTCGTCAAGCGTGTTCCCGTTGTAGGAGGGAGTCCTGAGGGCTGTAAGTAACATAGCAAGGCTGAGGTGGCGAAGACGGTCTAACAGATTCCTCTTTCTTCGCCGAGGCTTTGCAGCTCAGAAAATAGGTAGGAACCAACTGTGGCTCCGAGCTTCCCTATGCTCGGGTAAATCTCTGCAGAAATTGCCATGACGGTGACCCCAGGAAGGCTCTGGAAAGAGAGCTGAAATGTAGAGAGACGGCTCCACAAAACCTGGAGCATGCTCTGGGCATAGCTGGCAGAGACATTCTCACCAAAGATCGCTGCGTCGTTCTGCTTTAGACCGTACCCGACAAAATCAAAGAGGAACCAGCACCCGGCAGTACCGAGAAGTGCACGACAGTACGGTGACAGAATGGTCCACATGCTGTCCTGAAGCTTCCGTTCTGCCGTCTTACTTTCCACGAACTTCAGGCTCTTTTGCGTGATCAGGTATCGCAAGGCCAGGCCCAAAGCTGAATGAATGACGCCGATTCCAAAAATCCATCGCCAAAGAGGAACACCGGAAACGTTCATGATGTAAGTTACCAGTGGACATCAATGCCTGGCCAAAGCCTCATCCGAAGAGGTACAGCAGGGCAACGTTTCGAGCACCATCGCTCGTCTTTTCCGAACACTCCGCAGAGGGTGCAGCAGCAAGCGGAGATTCCCCACCCATGCCGAGTCCGGTGATGATGCGGGCCGCGATAAGTGCATTCTCATTCCAGGCCATGGCACAGAGTATAAGACCCAAGCGGCGTCCAATGTAGTCCGAGGCCGGACCCATGACAATCATGCCCAATACGCATCCTGCATACATGACAGCTCTCACGGAATCTTTCTGAGAGTCGCTTGCATGAAATTTCAGGTGCATAGTGCTCAACGACATTCGTCGCACCGAGCATGTACTTGTCAGTCAGTCAGCCGATGCCGGTAGCAAATGCGCGCCGGATGCGCACCATGGCTGGGATGGGATGCACAGGAACACGAGCAAAATGCTGCAAGAGCAGGACGCGTCATGGCCTAAAGCCTCCAAAACCCTTGACATGAGGCTCCTCCAGAGGTTCACGCGTAGCTTCAGGGGCGAAGCAGTATGCCGATGCAGGAAAATGCAGGAAACAAGGATTCCCATGCCCGGCTTTTTCATCGGAGAACTTGCAATGGACCCTCCAGATTTGTCAGCCATAGTGACCTTGGCGAACACAAGGCTCGAGGATCCCTCGGGCCGAAGAGGATGCCGGGCCTTGCAATGCAACCCAAACAGCAAGCCTAGAGGGCCTAGCAAGCCCCCTGTGTGTCCGGGCCACTTGCACATCCTCAGGGCTATGCGAAACGCAACCCCGATCCAAATGTCGACCCAAGCCATCCGATCCACCCAAGGACACCTCTGAAGCCACAAAAGCCCTCGGCCGCACGCTTCGCCTGCAAGCTGAGGCCAGGGCCGAGGCTCATCCTTTGCACTTTCGAAGCTGCTCGGAGACATCCTCGACTTCTTCGGGGCTTCGCAGTTTTTCGCGGCGATGAAAGACAGCGCTTTTAAGCGAGTCCGCATGTGTGTATAGGCTGCGTTGGGGCAGAGACACAGAAATTTCTTCGCTTTGGGTAGGAGTCCAAGCTGTCACGAGCAGGTCCTGCACGGCTTGCTCCATCGAACTCAGCTGTTGGGATGAGTTCGGGTTGAACTTGAAGAGCCTCAGAATCCCAACTTGCGACAACGCTCTGACGTTCAAGTGCAAAGGTCTTGAGGATCCGATCTCGCCATGCAACGCGTAGAAGAGGTCAAAGCTGTCTCTGGATGTGTTCTCCACCAGCTGAAGTAAGGACTCGAAACCCTGAGGAGAGCGGTTCGCAGGAGCGCTCCGGTCAGAAGCATCCACGATCTAGTACTACCAGTGCGAAACACTATCCAGCATCGCGATCTGCAGCTGTGCTTCCGATTAACTGTCGACAGACAACTTGATGCATGGACCTGGAAATTACTGAAAGAGCTGGGTGCCTTCGTATTGATGGGCCCGCTGCTTAAGGCAAGGCGTTCCAGCACCCGGCCAGTGAAATGCGTGACGAATTGGCTGCCGGCGGCCACTTCGTCATGCAGCTCGCACGTCATATCCTCTGCTTGATACACCAGCAAGGAAGGACTCCGCAGGAAAACGAGGGCACGGGAGGAGTCTGCAAAAAGTTTTCACGAGAAACCTGCAAGCACTATTTCACAATCGTTGCGCTTCATTACCACCATACTCAGACTTTTGACTTGACATTGCCCGTTAGCAACGCTTAAGTCTACTTGCATACCAATCCAGTTGCCGGGTTGAAGCTTTCACTCTGGCCACGTCAACGCTTCTTTGCACTGACCTTACACGCCTTGTGTCGAACACTATGTTCCGCATGTGGGAAGAGGCGGCACCGAAGTTGGCTCACAACTGCCAAGGCTTCAAGAAAGGACTGAAACTAACCAATCCTCCCCCCAAGTTCCTCGAAAAAAGAAACTTTCCTGCAATGAATCAATCCATACTGCGTATGCCATACTCACCACGGATTGCACGAAAGAACTCCGAAAATCATTGCCGAGCTAGCAACATGATAAAGGACGGCTGCTAAAGAGCTACAGTGTCTAAGCACATCCCGCTTACCCTCAATCGATCGAGATGACTCGGAATGCGGAAGACGGGCGCAAGACAGAGCCTGGTCTGGCGCTGTAAAGGCCATTCCACACATGGCAGCTTCAGGAGGACAAAACCCCTTGAGCTCTTCTAGTGACCCGAAGTTCGGCACTGCAGGGTCACGAAGGGTCACGAATCTGGCTCACAACTTGGTGAGCATGGACCAACTTAGGATCTCGACTTCGTTCAAACCTGAAGAGACAGTGTGCTGTGCATGCATATCCGAGCAGCCACCATCCGGCATCCTTGACTTGTCCACCACTTGAGGAACTCCTCACACCTCCTTCCGAGAACACTACTGGACATCATGGAAAGGTGTTCCTAGAAACCTGCTGCCAAACAATCACCGCAATAGTCGTGCTACCGAAAGCATGCAGAAAGCCCCAAGCTCCTGGCATTGTTGAGCCTCACTCGCTCGAAAACGAAGGGCAATCCGCTCCAGCCGTGCTTGCCACTTTGTGGACCGAACATCGGATGCGTGCACAAAATGTCCTCAGGTGCTGCTGGAAAGGGATCAAGGAGTGGATCCGCCTAGAAGTTCAAGCGAATCTCCAAGCACGTGCCCAGGCCCAGAGACGCATGTCGTGGAGCTTGCCTTTTGCAATAACAGCCTAGCTTCGCAGGTTTCTGGCAGAAGGGCCGCCAGGGTTGTCTTTGCATGCACCTGCTTTGTGAGACAGTGGGGGATGGAGCAATCACAGGGAGCTTCACACTCTGTCAGGACGCGCCAGACAGCAGAGTCAGCGTGCCTTCACTGAGAGCACGTCTACTACCAGCATCTTCCGAGACCTCAAGCGACAAATTATGAAACGAATAGACCCTACACCCTTACGAAGTAGCAGAACGTCTGAAGGACCCATTGCCATAGACAACTGGACGTTGCCGAATATTCGCTAGTTTTGGTTCTGGCGCTGGTACCAGTCCTCGTACCAACTCAATGGTAATGGAGCAGCAGCAGCAGCAGCAGCAGAAAGGAGGAGGAGGAGTAGTCGTAGTGCAGTGCTGGTCTAGTGCCAGGCTATATACGTAGCTCAGACCTAAGCTTCTCGGCACTGCATGCTAGCAAAATCCTGCCCTGGCCTGGGCTGTGCTACCCCGAAGTCCTCGAAATAGACTCCCTGAGGCCCGCGCGCATGAGCAGCGTCTTTGGAGGCAATGCAGTTACATATCCGACGGACCATACCCTCAAAGCTCAGAATGCTCACCTTCGCGACTCACCGTCCACTACCAGTCACTACCGCTGCGGGAAGAAAGCCACCACGGCAAATAGCTAGCACGCCAAACAGTCCTTGGATGGAAGAGTTTGCAGCTGAGTAGCAGAAATAATGAGCACGTCGAGCTGCTGATCCAGGAGTTGATCTATTGAATCACACCAAGTCCTCGCAGAATCTTGAATCTAAGCAGCTTTTGGTCATCTCCTGCTGGAGAGGTCTTGTTCAAGCCGAGATTCACTCCACAGTTTGCTGCAATTGCGGAGTAATTCTCCCGGCTGGCTGCAAACACGAAATGGTCCAGCGCTAGCTTCTTTCCCTCGGCATGCAAGGGCAGCTTGCTTGGCTCTTGGAAGCCTGCCTTGAGAGCAACAGCTCAAGTAGCAACACTATCAGAGAAGGCCTGAAGACCGCCCGGGAATGGAGTTGATGGCGCCCCCGCTTTGGCAGCGTTGAGCCCCAAAACTCAAGCACACCCCACACCCGCAGGCCTACTGGCAGCGACCCAAAGCCTCCAAACCACTTGGCCGTGGAGAGGCTTCAAAGGGCTTTCGATGTCGACTCAAGACTAGGATAGCCCTGACATCCCAATGCCTTTAAAAACTGTACTCCACACGGCAAGCGGCGATGAACTGACCGAAGGTGCCGAAGCCCAGGACCCCGATGCGTTTCTTTGGCTCGGTGGCTGGACGGAAAATCGGAACCTGCCGAGACCAGTACGTAACTGAGGAGATTCCTAGGCTGAAGGACCTTCACATTTTCGACAGACTCAGTTCCGAGATATGTTGGCCAAAACCGATACAAAAACTAGCAGCAAGTGACCGACTCCGAACCCTGCGAAGCTTAGAGGCTTGAACCCTGGACAACAGTAAACCCAACGATGACAAAGCTACTCCCGAACTGCTTCGGCCCCTTCCAAGACTAGGTGGCGTCCGATCTCAACAATTACGACGACGAACCCGGCACGCATCTAAGCACGATGATAATGACGATGTGATGACGAAGAGCTTCCTTCACATTTGTTGATTAGTCCCGTTTCTGCTGTAGCCGTCTTGAAGCGTCTCGAACCGAGGACCCGTCAACACGACCGTCAAGCATGGAACCATGGTTAGAAGTATCACGTCGAAAGGAACACGCGTTTTCAGACCAACCCGCTAACACGCACGTAAAGGCTCCTTCGGGCATAGGGGGCGTGTCAAACCCCCTGCCCGCCAGCACCAGGGCCCCCATGTGCTATGGGACATTGAAGGAATTGTGGAAACAAGACGGGGGATCCTGTGCTTGCTTCCACAAAATGCTGAATGCTGAATACCTCTAAGCATCCTCCCTCTCAAAGGCACTCGAAGCGTGAAGAGAGGCCTGGCCGAAGGCCCTAAGCCCTAAACTCCCTAAACCCCAAAGACTCAAAGCACGAGGGGTACCATCCGGTCTTCCAGGTGTGCCAGGCCGACACGGGCCCCGCCCTGCGGGAAGGATCCCAACCTCGGTCGGGCACCCAGGAAAACACCTTGCCGGCTCATAGAGCACCGCAGGTCTCTGACTCTCACGTTTCGAGTTTGGTGGTGTGGCCTGGAGCTTGGGGTTTGGCTTGAGCGTTCTTTTCGCAGAAGGCACTTCGAACAAGCGGAATCTGATGCAAAAAACTACAACAACAGCAGAAGGTTGAGTAAAAAGCGAGCACGCAAAAGCCTTGGCTTCGGGTAGCGGACAATATTCGACACTATTCAATCGTGAGTGAGGAGTTGTGAAGGGGATTGCCTCCAACTGGTGTTCTGGACGCTGTCGGACTGCGCCAGGCAAGGTCTGAAGATGATACAGGCGAGAATCGTAGACTGGTCGCAAGGCCCATTCACCCAATGGTTTGGGGGTGGAGGGTTTCTAGCTTGAAAGGACTGGGCATGTTGCTTTTGATCATGAAAAGGGTGGTCACATCTCGTCTCATCGCAGTCCGAGCATCACTCTGAAGAACACGGTCATCTCCTGCAAGTGCCGCAGCGCGTTCGTGACGTTGTGCTCATCCACCTGCTCTGCGGGATGGGGTGCAGATGCAACAAGTTCCAGGTGAGGACTCGAAGACTTGAAGCGATCGCGGCAAAACCCCTGTTATGCAAATCCTTGTTTGTCCCTTCGTGGTTTCGTGCGCTACGACACCCTCGAAAGATCCCGGGGTGATGAAATGCTGACACCCATTTTACCAGCGATCCAGGCTGTGTTGCCCCTGACTTCCGTTTGGCGGGCCGACAGGGCCAAAAGTACCCCTTTTCTGGGATGCAGGCATTGGCCAGGAAGTCCACGTAAAAGAGATAGCGGAAGCGGGCCTCGCCTGCCTTAGTAGATTCACGCCCTTCTCTCTGTCTTTGTCATGGAAATACTCCTTGGACTTGCTGAACAAACCAGCCTGAGCATCGTCACCCGGATCTACCAACATCCTGATCATCAAAATCATCACTAATATCATGATCATCAATACCCTGTCCCCCTGCATCTCCATCCGAGCCGTCTAAGTGCAAGACGACAGTTCTCTTTAACACTCTGGGACAGGTGTGAATTAGCGCAGGGCACTCGAGCTTCGGTTGGCAGCCTGACGCATTATACTGAAAAGCTTCGTATTCCAAAGGAAGCTTTCTCAACCATGCAATGGATCATTCAAAGACCACCTATCTCACCGCACTGGACTGGGCTAAGCTGCCGAGCCCTCTGTCCTTGCCCGCTTTGCAGGCGGGGCCACGCGCATACTCATGTACAGGCGCTCAAGGCTCGACATGATGTCCTGAACAGCATCACACTGCTTGTTTCGACTCTGGATTGAGCAGGTGCTGGTTGTTGTGTGGAATGCTAACGCAGAGAAAGATGCAGATGCAAACAGGGAGAGGCAGAGAGGGAGGGGAACCACGAGGTGATTGATCCCCTTTCGTAGTGCTTCCGCACCTGTACTCAACCTCAAACCGACAATTCTCGGCATCCGAAGTTCACTCGCCCAAGCCTCCGCAAATATCCCCCAACTTCAACAGCCGCACTGCAGCAGTAAGCCAGCAAGTAGCCCGAGACTGCAAGCCCACCCCTTTTACCCACGCTCCGGCTTGCAAGGCCGGCTCTCGATCTTCGTCAGATCAATCTCCCGCAGAGCGAAGACCGACAGGGCTTTGAACAGGGAGCCTGTGTCAACAACATCTAACGTCCCACGAGCCCCACGCCCGTTCCTATTTTCTGTAGCACTAGATTACCAGGGTTGCTGGGACTGCCAAAGTGGCTGCTGCCCTACTCGTATTGCTGCAAGCTGCAGTTGCTATTTTCACAGTTGGCAGCTGCCCGCGCGACACCAAGCTAATGGACCTCTTGACTCGTTTCCATTCTGTTACTGCCATGTGTTCTTTCGGAGTACTTTTAACGAACCAATGGCAAGTCATTCTTGCGCTGTAGTGCTTGCGAACACCGAACACCACTACGATTTCGTTTCGATTGCAAGGCAAGCTCCCCGAAGTAACTGACGAGGACATGTACCCAAATCAAGCCAGCACTTTGGGTGTTTTCTGTATCGTCCACAGCCAATGGAGGTGGGATGAGGCAGCCCGAAACCATGGCAGCCATGCTGCTACCATACTCTTGCCTTAAATCTTTGCTTTCTAGGGGCGTTTTATGCCTCGGCTTGTTTCAATCAGAGATTCATTGGACACATGAGCCCCACACTCTCCCTGTGCCTGCCATGTTCTCCAAGGAGAAGACAACAGATGTCTTGCATTTCACGCCCGGAGGAACCGAGACTGGCTCTGATCGCAGCAGCAGAAACCGTGTGAAGTTGTTGTCATCGTCTTCAACTCCTCGGATAATCGGATATGCAAACTTCTCGAGGATTCATAGCAGTCATAGCAGATGCAAGCACCCAACCTGCTCTTGCTGTGGGCTTCTGCATTCTGGCAACATGGCCTCCCTCGGGCGTTATGCACAGCAACTTCTCAGAATCTCGCCGAACACGCTGAACTCGAAAAGCAGAACTCGAGACCCACCAATTCTCTCTCAAACAACTATTACAGGTGGATCTTTTGGGAGCAAGACCCTGAGAAATTTTGATCCCCCCAGCTGCCAGAACTTCCAAGTGCACGCTCAGGCTCCCTTGTCCAGGACTTCGAGGCCGTAGTGCTCTGCTGCCAGTTCGCTACAGATGGCCGCCACTCCCTCCAACTTGCCTCAAAAGTTGATTGAACAGGCCGCACAGTGCTCCACAGGCTCTACGACCCATACAGCTGCCATCCCAGGGTTTAGACTACCCGATGGCCGTGTCTGGCTTCGGATCGTTACAGCCTTTTCGCGTGGCCCCACCTTCAGCGATGAGCTTTGCGCTGCCAGCAGTGTCATATGCTGCCTCTGCCACAATTCCTGGGGAGAAATCATTCCGAGGAACAGCCGCGCAAAAGCAGTTCGACAGCTCCTGCCTTGCTTCTTCAAGTAGGAGCTGCACTGGGCCAAGGCCTGCGGATGGCTGATTGCCTTTGCCAAGCTTTCCTGGCAAAAACATGCGTTGGCTGGGCCAAGCGCACTAGTTCAATAGCTGCGCCAGGCGGATGCCCCGCCTTCTTGGTGCCAGGCAGAGCCAGGAGCGCGTGCCGGACTCGTAAGCTGTGTTCGGCCTCGGTACGGCCAGGGCGCAACGGAAGCGACGGTTCTCACAATCTTTCATCTCAGGAGCAAACGATGATGAACAAGTTGTGTTGAAGCTGCAGGTCGCAGTTGGCATGTATGGTGCCACCGAGGGTGTTCTCAATGGGAACCATGAGAAGATTCATCTTCCCAGTGCTGACCGCCTGACCAGCTGAATCCACCGAACAAGCCGAAAAGACAACAGGCTTCGGTCTCCATCAAGCACAGGCTACCGTATCTCTTGCAGTGAAGACTCAGTGAACGCATCGTCGAAAGAAGGATAGCCCGTACACTGTATTCCTGTCAGTGGACACGTAAAGAGACGAAGTGGGAGACAATGATCAAGAATAGAAGGGTGCACTGCCACACTGCACAACAAGCTCGCTGCTTTACAAACACGAAAGTGGTGCCAGCATGCTTGCTAAAGCTCTGGCGCTGTTGCTGTTTTTAAACTACGTGTGGGAAGCTTCGATAGCAAGACGCGTGCTCAATCTTTGCTCTGATTCGCTTTGATAGTCTTACCTTCTTTACAGTATCCTAGCTTCTTGTACTTTAGGACAACTTGGATCTCCAAATCGTGTTCTGTACCGGGAGCAAGCAGGCACAAGCCATTGTGTCCAGGTTGCCGGTTCTTCCGAGCAGCTCGTAAACTGCTTGCTCGCCTTATTGCGATTTTGGAGCATGGTAAACCCTCACGTGGAGCACCGCCATCAATTGAAGCACAAGTAGCTGTACGCACCACTTTCACCCTGGAAAGCCACCGTGTAGCGCGCCATGGCAGGCCTGCGATCGCCTAACGTCCTTCGAAGTGAAATGTCCGAGGAATCATTGGCCATGGGACGAACAAAAGGGAGCCACGATGGATGGCTGTCATTCGAGGCCCTGGGCCCTTGAAGTTCTAAGCCTTAAGCAGTTTCTAGGCCCACCAAGTGCCCTGCCTGCTCTTCTGTTATTGCTGCTAGGCATAGCCCCAAGCACGAACTGTCTGCTCGCACTCTCGCCTCTCGCTACTTTGCTCGAAGCACTCGGCCTTGTTTCTTCAAATCTAGCACATGGATCGGGAAGTTGACATCCTATGCCACTCTCGCCGCTGCGGATCTTGCCGTGCCGTGGCCGCAACCAGCTCCGCGATCTTGGCAGCTCAAACGAATTGAACTACCCAGTTTTCAAGACTGGCTCCATGTAGAAAGTGGATTCTGAGCTGGACGCGGCCGCCAAAAAAGGAGCGAGCAAAGCGGTCACAATCGCCAGCTCCCCCAGCAAGAGTCTTTGCCTCAAGCAAAGGAAGTAGTTAACCAGTCTTTATCAATATCTATTGGGATTCGTCCCGGTCTGAGGACGACACGCAGCGGCAGAAATGTCCGCTCTTAACCTCTCCCCGTCAAAGCCAGGCGTTCTAGATGCGCGCCACGGCAAGCCAGCCTGTGCAGTTCTCTGCTTCACTGGTTCGCATCAACATGCCGCTCATGGACGTACCAGTCCCATCGCACCTCTGTACATATTCCTGGGGATTTCTCTGTATAGCTCCCAGGAATGGACGTGCAATTGGCTTGGAAAGCCATGATCTCCTGCAACAGCACTGAAACTGCGTTGCATAACAAGCGAAAGGCTATCGGGGCCTCGTTGTACTTGCAACGAACATCCTGAGCCCATGTTTGGCCAGGAACGAACCTCCCAGGAATCAAGTGTCACAAGTGCTGGAATGTAATCAATGCCATCAATCGAAGTTAAGCTAACCTAACCCAACACGACCTATATAACTAGCGCGACTTAGCCTTATGTTTCTTCATGTCAACGTAACCTGATTTGACTAAACTTGCCCCCTGTTCCACTTTCTCTTTTTTTGCGCAGCTTCCAGCTACCTCGACTCCCCGTCTGCCCTGCAACAGACCATATGCCACACTTTTCTTCTCCACCAGTTTTCAGATTCCTAGAACCAGATTCCGTTGTCTTGCCAAGGGTTTCGCGACGTCTGGAGAGTGATGTCTGGCATCCCCTCCATCATCAGCGTCACGGGCCCAATCTATCTGCTTTGCCGCAGTTGCCGAGGTGGTCTGTGTTCTTCGGGCGGTGGCTGTTTGCCCAGATGCCCGTCAGTTGTGTCGACTTTTCGCTAACATCGGAACTGTCGAAAACGACAACGTTGATGTGCCACGTGTAGCAGCTGTAGTAGTCAAGGAGGTTTCGCGCTCTTTCAGCAAGGTACTGCATCGAAGTTTGGATTGTTCCCCCTGTATTTGTTCCTCTGCGTGGGCGGTGTGGTGCTTCCCTGGCTTCTTACCTGCTGAATAGCTTTGATGTAAAAGCCCGGTCAATGCAGGAGGCGCTGTCCTGCCGTTGCTTTGTCGGCCTCTTTCACCCGTGCCAGCTTGGGTCTCGGGATGTGGTTGTGGTGCGTTCTGTTTCTGCGCTCACGGGTTCTGGCCCGCTGGACTGCGCGTCCGCCTAGATCCTTTCATTGCACAACAAGCAGCACTGACGCCCCAGCTGTTCCGGGATGCTCTCCACCTCCCTCTCCGAGGTGGTTTGTATACCTTGCATCGGTCTGTCATCCCGCCAGGGTCGATCAGCTCGATTTTCTCAGCTGTCCTCGTCTAGCATGCGTACACTGCTGTCTCCAGGCCAACGAACCGGAGCCAAGTTCCCTAGTTGCTGCCAAGCCTGGCACAATCAAGAAATGCAGCAGAAACCCATGCAAAAGCGACACAGAACACGATGTCACGACTTCTGAGTTGAGCTTGATGGCTCGCCGTGCCCAGCGGGGTCGGGTAGAGCGCTTCTGACTTCACTGGTTGGATGCTCCGCGCCCAACCCTTGTGTTCGAGACAGTGAAGACACGTAGGATCAAGCAGGCGCGAAAAGGAGTGGTTGTCGTGCTGGTACGCTTCGTTGTAGCCAGCACGCCTACTTCGTATAGTCGAGAAGGAGAAAGAAGCACCAGCTCGCAAGCACGGCTGTCCTTCACTGAGACTCAGCAAGGAGACCTCAGGCATCAGTGGGATCAGGCTTCACTGCGCTCTCACGGCAGGGCACATGGAAAACACACGATCGAGCCTCGAGCCAAAATGGCCAGGCTACTCACTCTCGCGCTCTCTCTCTCATACTCTCCATACTCTCCGTGTCTTAGCTTCGTGACTCGGCCTTCCATTGAATTGCCCTCCGATCAAACAGCCGCTGTGGTCAGTGAGGTATGTCTCTTCGCAGCAGTCTTTGTCTTCGTATGGCAGCAGAACGAAGGAGTTCCGGCTCAGGTCGCATCCAGGAACGATGGGCAGACCCGAAAAGCTCAAAAAAGTGTAGACCTGGCCATTCAAGCATGCCATCTTCATTCTCTAAGCCTGTGACAGTCATCTCTACATTGAGGGCCCGGCGAGGACGATCGGCAAATAGCCCCACGTAACGTGCGCTTGTGCAAACCGATGTGCCATCCAGCAGAATACGCCCCAACCACCACGGCATCGAACTCCTGGCTCAACGCAGCTATTGGGCCAGTGAAGTGAAAGCCCAAGGCAAGCAAAAAGAAACTGCATGTCCTGACACCTGTGTTTGTTGCTGGACATCGAACGACGCTTCCGTCAGCGGTTCACTGGTCTGCGCCCCGTCACCGAAGCCGTCAAGAGTGAAAATTCCTGAACACGGTACAAAGCCAACGTTGTTTGGGAAACGAATGATGCTCTCGACCCCTGACGTCTGCTACATGGAAGCCGAGCCTTCAGGGCAAGCAATTTCGACTCTCATGTTGCGGATGTGAACCAACCTCGGCTGCGCTTTCCTACCAGCCTGCCTATGTAGAGCCAGCGAACCACCGATGAGTTTCAGTGTGGTCGGCAAGTTCTGCCAAGGCACACATGCGCAAGGTCGACCTGCACGGTTCCAACTCATGTTCAACCTATTCGAAAACAGCTCGATCTATTAGTTGACGGGCACATCTTGCAGTCTGCAGGTTCAAAGCAATATGATCTTAACCAATCTGTATAATTACGTCATACGTAACACCTAACAGCCTAACAGCTGGCACTTGTGCCCAAAAGCCTCCCTTGGACGACCTCCAAGCCTCCTTCCACGCAATTGACTACTGAATCGCGCTTTTCTTTGGTGAAGGAGAGACTCCCCAAGATTGGGGAGGCATCACTGCTCACTCCGATTCCGGACACCGATAGCCACGACCAGCACTGTGAATCAAGTAAACCCACAGCATCCAAAAGAGGCATTGGCCTCACAGAAACATGTTGACGGCTTGCAGCCTGCAGCGTTATTCCAGCTGCCGCCAGCCGAATCCACCCAGACTCAATGGTCAGGATCCCGCTTGCAACGAGATAGCGAGCCGGCGGCCAGCAGCCAATGTGCCAAACTACGGACAAGCCTTAAGACCGCGTTGCACTCTTTGCCACATTACGCCTGCCCCGGTGACGCATGTTGCAGCCAGGGAGCGGCTCAGACGAGCATTCAAGGTGTCGATGAGATCGTCACCTATGAGCAAGGACAATACGAAAAAACCTTGTCAAAAGTTGACTTGTGCAAACTGCAGGAATGCGCGAGAAAGACCCTCACGACTGTCTGCGTTCAGTTGGCTGACTGTCAATGTCACTCCCTGGAGACCGTTCCGGTCCATAGCGCCGCCTTGCAATCGTACCAATGCTTTCAACGTCCAGTTGCACAACACACCAGCGAACAGGCCTGGGGAATTCATGTGATGGTTTACCCCGGGAGCGCCGAACCGTAACATCCGCCGAACCTGGTAGCGCCCAGAAGCGGCCATCTTAGCGGTCATCTCAAACGGGGATTTGCATGGTCTGTGAATCGCACCTTTTCCGGGAAGTTCCGCACCAGCCAGCTCACGTGAAACGGAGGGTCGACGGACCGGTCACATGTGATGTTGAAGCTTTCCACACCACGTGGTCCACCGCAGCGGTCTTTTCGACACTGGCCCAGAACCTTAGTCGTTCTGGTGGTCTTTTGGGTCACACATTTGCATTGCCGTGAACTTCTATGAAGCCCTGGGAAGGCCGCTGGCTGGCTCGTGTGAGCTGAGCTTGCGAAGTCTGGGATCGATCGGGCACACCACTGCTTTCCGAAGAAGCACGCATCGCCTCCGATATGGCCGGCACTGTTAGCGTGCCCACTTCCAATTTTTGCTTAACAGTTTCAAAACAGGCCTTCGGTGCAAAATTCGAACTCCGGACGCAGACGGACATCATCGTTGGACCCCTGTGCACAGCTGCATGGGCATCGCCCGGACTGCTGGGTAACCTGCATGGGGAATCAGAAACTCGCGATGCAAGTTTGCAGGGCTGTGGCGTTGCCAAAAACCGCAAACTTATAATGCTTCTCGTCGAGTAGCACATAATCTTACTATTATTAGTAGTTGTAAACAAGGCAATAGCTGTAATAATAATAGTAGTAGTCGGCGTCGTCCTCGTTGTCGTAGTCGTTGTCGCAGTCGTAGACGTAGTAGTCGTCGTCGTCGTCGTAGTAGTATCATAGGGTGAAAACACAACCTCCAGCGAAGGCTATTTAGAGGTATTTTTTTTGGGTGGTTATCTTTATCGAGCGCGCTGTCGAGGCTTATTGCGGCGAATCGTGACTAGCTGTTGATGAAGAGGGTGCCGTGCGAGGCATAAAAATCGAACGTTCCATCAGCCTATTGAGGCTTAACAGGGTGCCTATTGACGCTTCTTGGGCGAGTCTATTGAAGCTTAACAGGGGGCCGTTGAAGCTCAGGGCACGCAAGCGTATTCAGCCCGACAACTGTGCTTACCAGAGCGGGCTGAAATAA